CAACATTACCGCTCATTAATATTTTATCCGGAATATTAATGAAAATGTTATCAATTAGCGTGGCAGAGTCCCTGTGGACACGGGTTGGTTTATCAATACTAGGGGTCATTGAACAACTTTGTAAAGTCAATAAAAAATTATGCGCATAATTACAGCTATCGATTTTAAGCAAATCTATGTTAAAATCGCCCATGACAACAACAGTTTTGCCCAGAGAAGTGAAATATTTGAGTTTTTCTTCAAAATAATTTAGGAAACATTCTGGTGAACTATGTTGCCTATATAGTACACCACAAATAATATTCTTCCTATTTGGCATAAGAATTTCAATCCATAGAGCTTGAAAGTCCTTGTTCACGGTTTTTTCGATAATAAAATATCTAAGTTCATTGTTGATATACATTCCGACTCCTCCTGCAGCAAGAGGCGTTGGAACAAATTCAAATGAATACTCAGGAATATTGTAATTGAAGTTATCAATAGTAGCATCTGTTATGCGAGTTTCAGTTATACCTATAATACTAAAAGAAAAACCAAGTTCATCCAATATATGGGTTTGCAGATGATCAAGGTTTTTCCTCAAGCTACATACATTATTATGAAAGAATGTGAATCGGTTATTAGATAAACTATTTGGAGCTTTGTCAATTTTTTTGAAGCTATTGGGTGAATAATACCTACTCTGAATATGGTTACTGATAATATTGTGATCGGGGTTTATATCCGAATTAGGATTTGTATTCAGATTAAATAGGTCCAGATCATATATACTAGTAAGCTTATCTAAATAGTTTTTAGCGATATGATTTGGAGAAAGACTGTTATTAAGTTGTCCGTGACTAGCAACAATATTAACACCGTTATAGGGCAGTTCGCGAAACATAGCTTTGTTTACTTTTTCGTCATGTTTGCTCCCCATTGTTATCACACAATATATTTTTAGTGTATAATTCTACTTGTCTTAATGTACAGATCATTTTGCATCTTCAACCATTGTCAGCGTAGCCAGGTCCTCAAGTGTCTTCATTCTTACTGCACTGGAGTCATCAGATTTTCGAAGACAAATGTAGTTGTTCTTAGCCCAGCAGTACTTGAATTCGTAACGATTTTGCACTTTTTTAGCCTCAAAGAGAAGTGTCTGAAGGCGAGGAATAGTTTTTAGCGATATGATTTGGAGAAAGACTGTTATTAAGTTGTCCGTGACTAGCAACAATATTAACACCGTTATAGGGCAGTTCGCGAAACATAGCTTTGTTTACTTTTTCGTCATGTTTGCTCCCCATTGTTATCACAGAATATATTTTTAGTGTATAATTCTACTTATCTTAATGTACAGATCATTTTGCATCTTCAACCATTGTCAGCGTAGCCAGGTCCTCAAGTGTCTTCATTCTTACTGCACTGGAGTCATCAGATTTTCGAAGACAAATGTAGTTGTTTTTAGCCCAGCAGTACTTGAATTCGTAACGATTTTGCACTTTTTTAGCCTCAAAGAGAAGTGTCTGAAGGCGAGGTGTTAGATGTTCGTAGATGTTCATTCGGCCATGCTGTTTCTGCGCTTGGAATCTGAGTTGTTCGGGCTTTAGTTCGTATATTTTACGTCTTGCCCCCATGACTTTGTCTTTAGCAAGCCTTCGGACGAATTTGCAGATTATTGGGTCTGGACTAGCAGGTGAATTTCGATTCCGCTTCGGGACACGATGGGCAGTGTCTATATCTTGTAGAGAGACATAATTTACACCCAATGCTGAGAAAAGCTTTACACAACGCGCTGCAGTCACATCAGACGATTCTTTGTCGTTAACTGGCGGCAGTCCAACTATCTTAATATTATACTGACAGCTGTAGGTCTCGATGGCTTCGATGGCTTCATATATTTCGTCGCAGCTTCTACTAACTTTATCAAGTCTTGAAGCGATTTTCTTACATATGTGTTAACTGTTGATGGAGCGTAATTGAGGTCAAATAAATAAGCAATAAAAGGTACCAAGATGGAGGGCAACAAAGGCAAAGCTACCGAGACATTGTTAAAAACTTTTAGATGGAATTGTGCTACTTCACCATGTCTAGATTTATGTGCAACTTCATGCCTCAAAATAATATAAATAAAAGATATATATCTATGCCCATAAACTTCATGCCTTAAAATAGTCATACAAACATTTAAATATCTACCCAACTTCAGGCCTCGTAATACAAAGATATAATTTTTTTCACAACCTCAGGCCTTTATGATACAATAAATATTTGATAAAAAATATTACAACTTAAGGCAATTTCAAACCCCTAAATAATGGTAACAAAATAGTCATACAAAGATATAAATAGCTGTGTCTAAAATTCACACCTCGAAATAATGATAAAAAGATGTAATTAAATATTTGTGCCCAACTATCCTTTCAAAATGGTGACTCGCCATCTTTCAAAAAACTTTGATCAACGAAAAACTTTGATCTTGTGATGCACTGTTAGCGTGTCATGTACAAGTTTGACTGCCCAGCCTTGTGTGAATGCCCAGCCTTGTGTGAATACGTATGCTTGTTCTATCTCCATCAAGTCATCTGATGACAAAATTAGTCCACATTTCTTTTCGAGTACTGATTTTCTGCTTCTCAGAAATTGGTAGAACAAGCATAATGCTGTAATAGATGCTTTCAAGGTTGTTGCCATCCTAGGTTTAAGTGCTGTGTTATTGTTTTTGAAGAATTTTTCCTAGCAATTCGTCACCCCAAAGTACACAGATGTTGGTTGGTTTTTACTCCACTTGGTAAATAAGCCTTCCCACACAGGTGTTTTTAACACAGACAATGACAGCCGACATTTTCAAAGGCAGATTGTGGTGACAACACCAAAAGCTATTCACTTCTCTACTCAAAGCACTGAAAAGCACCATGAAAAGAAAACATTTTAAACATACATCAGGTTAAGACTTTTAGCTCAATTTTCTCATGTTTCTGTTGGGAAAGCAACAGGTTTTAGCCAAAATTATTTTGTGCGCCAATGTAGGCTGCTATAGGCAGCCCACTAAACGGCTGACTTTAATTGAAACTGCAGTCGGCAAACTGACGTATAGTTACATATAAAGTATACCTAAGGTTGGCAAGGTGTTTGAACTATTTGAACTACACACAAGAAATATATCCGTAGTATTTTAAAAAGCAGAAAGAAACTAGCCCTAAAACCAACATCAACATAAACAAGGATAATTTTACTAACCTGTCTGTAACTTTTTTTGTCAAAGTACAGCTTTAAATGTTGATAAATTGATGAAAGTTTACGGTGTTTTGTCGATTTTTTTCTCTGTGACTATGCGGGATGCTCGCATCCTGTTACTGCACACATTTTTCAAAATAAAACTCAGCTGTTTATTGGCTGTAGCAAGTTTCGTCGTCAGTGATTTCGGTTTCGTGTTTTCGTCGCTCACGACGAAACTTGCTACAATTTGCAAGGTCCAATTTTGTGAGTGTTTTGATCGCATATTTCTACTCAGAAATACCCTTCAAAATATCGTATCTGCTCACTTGTGTTCCATGTTCATATTTCATGTGATTTCTGACTTCTATTTTTTTTCAAATCTCCCGCATGGTTCACAGAAGAACTTGACCCAAAACGTCAATACATTCGCTTTCATTTCGTGCCAAATTTTTGTTGTAGATCACTCAAAAATCTCTTCTTTTTTTTTGCTTTTAAAACCTGCTGTGAAATCCCTTTTTGCAACAGTATCGCCATTGTTAATTATTTTTCAGAAACTAAAATTTTAAACTTGAAAAACTTTGCGAGCTCTTGACCAATTTTCTCACATGATAAACCATTGAAAAGCTCGAATTTCACGTTCTATTTTCGTATCTGTTGCTAGGCAACCCGATAAACAGTGCTCAGTAATCATGCCCGCAAGTTGAGGTAAATGAAGCCTTCAAGTACAAATGCTTGAGAGGATATTATACGATACTTGAAGATATAAATTTTATCTTCGAGTGAAGGCAATAGTTACGAATGATCGATCAAGCACTGTGGTCATTGGTGTTGTTTTCACCACTCGAAGATAAAGTTCATATGTTCAAGCCAGCTTGTAATTTTCTTTTTATTATATAAACACAACACAATTTAAATTCACTTCTCAACATGACAGAAAAAATATCTCATTGTACTTTCCCTGTAAAGCACTTGCATCAGTGCATCTATACAATAAACTAGCTACTGGTTATCAATTAATTGTGGGTGTGTAATGACCCCTTCATCCTCACTCATCCCTTTGATGACTTTTGTGAGTGGCTCTTCAACTTTTGACACAATGTAAAAGTCTTGAGAAGATGAAGGTGTACCCAGAGATGGATTCTCATCAAACGCCTGGTTGTCAAAAACATATGGCGCCAACACTTCATTGAAATGTAAAATTATTTCATCATATATGTTATATATGCATGTATAGTGTGTGTGTGCGTGTGCATAGGAACATGTTTCATCCTATAGTAATAAAATTCACCTATACCTTCCTTGCTGCTAACAAAATGCAACTCCAGCATTCAGCCAACATGCTGCGCCTGGCCAAATATCCAAAGACTTCCTTTTTTATATGCAGAGTCTCCCAGTATGGATCTCCCATCGCTTGTATGTGACCACTGGCCAATTTGTACTATATTTCCCACAGCACTCCAAACATGCGAGATAATTCTGGAGAAACACTGGTTCCACAAAGTTGAATGACTTACATCATGCGTTGCTGTACTTTGGTTAGGCACGTGGATCAGCACAATACAATGAAGCAACCTAAACCAATAGTGACAATACTAAAAAAACATATAGACAGATAGAAAGGTACCTCACCACATGCAGGATTGACTGTACAAATCGGTGCAGTTTTGGACAATAGTTCCCCTCTCGGCATTTCCCACTCATGGCCAGAAATCGTAACCCCGGCGCCCACTGTTAACGGTCAGCAGTGATTCCAATTAGTACGGTCTAGCACTCTGAAATACCCAAAAGCGCAAAGCTGAATAAGCATGGCCGACAAAATAAGAACAAGAGGGGCAAAGCCAGCTATTTCGTATGCTGCTTTACATAGTTTATGTAATATTCATGCGGAAAAGAAGAAACAGCAAACAAGAAAAGCCACAGGGAAGTTTTTTGAGGCAGAAAGGATCATTGCAAGACGAAATGGACAGGCAAAGGTACTTGTAGTTTTGTCTTGTACATTTATGAAAATATATTAGTTTGATTTTTTATATTTAATATTGAGAAAACTGCCTGTACGAACCAATTACGACTTTTAATCTATTCCACAAACTTGAATTTGTTTAGAGAGAATACTTAGTGAAATGGATTGGTTATCCAACATTTAAATCCAGCTGGGAACCAGAGGCAAATTTGAATGAGACTTTGCTAAGGTGATATAAAATGATTAAATGATACAGTCTTGTCCGCCTATATACAATATACTTATTATTTATATTATTTGCAAAATCGCAAAGCAGTTTATACAAGACTGGGGCCTCTTACATTATATTTACTATTTAAGTAAAGTGCTGTTTTGTGTTCCAGGAGTTACAATCATCCAGAACCAGATGGCAGAAGAATCGACACATGTTGTTTGGCCTTCCAGTCTGGAATTATTCAGGGAATCAAGTCATCTGGGGTTGATTCTCATATTTATGTGCCATTTGACCTAGATGTGTGGCGGTATTTGACACAGGACAGGGGAACAGCCATTGGAAGGGGAGCTTTTCTGTTGGAAAAAAATGAGTTTGACAGATTTGCTCCCTTCCTACCAACTCATCGGTTTTATGTTATGGACCGTCACGGTGAGGGAACAACTGCAGTTGATTTCCCAATCCGAGTAAGACCATTTCTCAGCAAGTCAGGTGCCAAGAATTTCATTGTGGGGGAGGATGGAAATCTTACAAATGCTCCAATTGTGTACAGTGAGAAACTTAGTATTTATTTTGTTAAAAGGGCATGCAATGTTAATATATAATAAACATTTATTTTAAAATTTTTACTAATACACAGTAGTGTAGCCAGCCCGACAATTTAGTCCCTCTATGCAAATATTTTCGTGTTGATTGACTGAGAAAAACAATCGATATCTAAAGAAATGAATAATGATAATAATTTTGAATTTGCATGGCGGGACTAAATTGTTGGGCTGGCTACACCACTGCTAATATAGCGGTATACCCATCGGATTTGACAACAGTCTTGTTTCTCACAACTTGAGCTAGAATTTTTACTACAGAGGTAGTTGGAAAATTTAACTAAACTTTCTTGTGAAATGATGAAATGTCAAATTCTGTGGGTATCCCTGTGTCAAATAATAGACTGAAATAAGGTTTTCCTAAAACTGTACATAAGATTCCAACATGGAAGTACATGACTGTGCTATAAATTAGGATGCAGCGAAGATAACATCCTTTAAAAGTTGTCTAAGTTTTTCTGCATTCTTAACACGAGTTTTAACACCCATCTCTTTTAGTTTCGCTTTAACTTTTGCCTCATTCATGTTGTCAACATTCTCATCATCATCATCATCCAGTGGGGTAACACTAAGCCGTGGTCATCCTGTTGCTTGTAACTTCTGGGTTTTCGGTCAAAGTCTTGTAGGTCATCAAGTCTTTTTACAGCTTGAAGTCCATCTGTACAGGCATCATACTTGTTGCTTTTTTGGTGGTAAAGTCTCCGTATGACATCATGTACTTTCTCAACTCCTTGTCCAGTAAAACATTTTACACCACTTGTGCCAAAAAGAATGGCACATGATAGCCCAAGATGTGCATATATGGAGCCATCTTCAATACCACCAAGTGTTAAAAAAGCTTTAGCCATTCTGTTGGCTACAAGATATAGAACAGTACATGTATATGTAAGGATGGTAGGAATAAAAATTTTCAATGAGAATTTTATCATTAACCCATTGAGCGGCAGCACTCTCCCCTTGGCAAGTAAAATTGTATGGCATTAGACAGAGTAAAATAATAAAGTAGGGTGTATCAGGGTGCATTGCCACTTAAAGGGTTAATTAAGTTGAATTCTCACCTTTGAAAAAAACTGTTCAACGTTTTCCTCAGAAGGGTTCCAAGAGTTCACAATACCATACACTTCCTGGAAATCCTGAAAATATAACAGCCACTGTAGCTATAGTTGTCCAGTTCTAAAATTTGTCACTGGTTGTCACCTTTCTGTAGACAGACTGTATTTCATTACTGTACATTGCTCTAATTGATCAACTTAGTGATTGTACTGATACAGGCACAGAAGCGAGCTACAGTAATTATAGGGTAATTGTTTCATAGATAGGTAGCCTCTTTATTCCTTTTGATTTGAATATAATTTAAGTTTTAGCTTGTACAGCTTGAGGGTATATTGTTATAGTATTGTTCCTCATAATCTAAAACCTAACCTAATTAAACCTAATATAATACTTCCAAATTTTAGTCACAGTTTCAAGGTTATCTGGGGAAACAAATTCTGCAAATGAGTCGGGAAGGTTGTAAAGGAAGGTTTTTTATCAGCCCCCATTAGGCTGGTCCAGTCATATTTATCAGTGAGGTTCCCATTCTCATCTGGCTTGTTCCATATACTGAATGTGACCCCACATTTCTTCATAGCTTGAAGAAGCTTATGCTGATAAACATTCTTCTCAATCCTTTGATTGCCCCTCTCTGCCAGTTTATCTCTTCTTAAAATGCTATGAATGAGGTTTTTTTCAAGTTTGTCTATAATATATAAAATGAATTATATTCTGTACTGTGTATTTTATTAGATATTTATTATAATGTAGACTTTGTCACACATAATTTTGTTCACAGCATAAAACATTCTTATATGTGGAAAATTGAAATATTATTAAATCATCTAAATTGATCATAGGGTGTGTAAAATCAATGACATGCAAGCATTCGTTATATATAGCATATTATTAACAATTATTGGACGAGTTTGAGCAGGGTAACCAGAATTATTCAGACCGATGTTAACATTATCTGCCGAAGGCTGAGGCAGATAACATTGACCTGGTCTGAATCATTCTGCATATCCTGCGTACAAGCCAAATCTAACAATTGGCTTCTTATGAATTCTGTAACAGTAACAAATAAAACAAACAAAAATCAAAACAAAATTACAATTCATTAATTCAATAACTTTTAACAAAATTTCACACCAATTTGTACTTTCACACAAAGCACCGCTGAAATATATCGGGCTCTGTCCAATAACCTCTACATATTACTGTGGGCACCTACAAATACCTAAAACTATTTGTAGGCTTTTAGCCAATGAAAACATGAAAATACAGTACAATTAATATTTATAATACCTGTTATTCTGAGCATTAGATGTAATTCATCAGGAACAACATTGCATAGTGGGATTCTGATTAGTGGAGGGTGAATACAGCCAAATTTGTCTCCACCGGTTTGCAATGAACACTCCTGTATTTCTTCAGTTGTCCTGACCATTTCATCCGACCAATAGAAATCTTTTGCTTTCGACATATCCCATCTTGAGAAAGGAACATTTCAAACAAAAATAAGTTGAAGAGTTTAATTGTGTGATTACAGTATATCTAGGAATAGGTTGAATTTTTCCAGGAATTTCTGTAAAATTCAATTCACTTCCAGGAATTTCTGCAAAAATCATTTCACTTCCTGATGTATGTAATTACTTTAATGATTAGTTAATCCACACGTTTAAGGCTAATATTAAAAGAATATAATTATATTTCATCTGATTATGTGAATATGGGTACAGGTTTAATGTCTATGCAACTTGCACAGACATAATGCAGAGCGAAACTTCAGTAAACTGGTACCTTTCAGAAGAGGCAACTTTACAATATATGCAAGCATAATTTGAATTGGCAGCATTCATCCCCAATAAGGTAAGAAGAAACTAAAATATAATACAAATGTGTTGTTATAATAATTATAAGAATCAAAATTTTTTCAAAGCTCTTATGCATGGTTAATTAACCAGACAGTACAGTACAGGCTGTGTTATATCGGCCATGCAGAGAATTTTCACATTACCATAGAAAAGGAAATCTTTTATTTAATACATGCATGTACAGTAGCTGGTGTTTCAATGTACTATTAAATCATTATGTGGTAATAAACTTTATAATCCCCTACAAGGTAAAATTCAAGATTGATTTTCTTGCCATCAACAATTATTTCTCTGGTTGCAATGAGTTAATTAATTTCCTTGAAAAGATTTTTACCAGCAGTTTGCAGCACACCGTAGTCCTCTTTACCATTGAGAATTGCAACTGTGTGAATACCTTAATAATTCATTGAAACATATACAAATGAATATATACAAATGGTGTGTCCAAGTTTCAAATATCAAATATATATTATTTACATGTCTATACTTACCCTTTGTCGACATGACCTTTTCTCCTTCAGATAATAGCGAAAATGACAGAACAACAAAATTAGTAATTCTGGACATTTTTGCTCCATCCCCACTTATCTTCACTCTTTGTGTATTGAGCATTTTGTCTCCAAGTTTCTCCATCTAGAAGACTGTTGTTAGAAAAAGCTTTAAAAAGTTGCCAGCAGGGGCATCGCTAGCCCTATTTGAATAAGGGGGAGAGTGTAAGTGAAATTTTGCCAAGTCATTTCCACTACTGGGGGGCAGGGAAAGACTGATTAAAGAGGTGAAGGACATTCTGACATCAAAGGTTTTTCTGGACATTATTATTTATAATCTCCAGCATTAACAATTTTGTATATTTCCCCAAATTCGGGCTATAATTAGTATAGTTTTTAATCAGTGTCACTCCGACTGTGTCACTCCGACTGACATACAATAATTTGCTGACTATGTGAGAACTGCGGGTGTGTGTGTCGGGGTGTGTGTTTCACCAAATACACGCCTTCTAGTGACACCCCTGGTGGCCAATCACTACTGTAAGATAGACTCACATAACATTTGTCCTCAATCGCAGTGGTGGTGGAACAGTTTTTACTGTGCGGACTAATTTCTGTAAACTGTTCAACATGTAATATATGCTCAGGATAATAAGGAAACTTACTTGCTTTGAAAGCCTATGGTTGAGTTCATCCTTAAAACTCAGCTGTGCACCAGGCCATTCTCCAGGAGTTCTTGAAATGCTATACACTTTGTTGAGATCTTGTCTACATTGTTTTATCAAATAGCTGCGGGGAAGACCATCATTGTTTGTCATGCTGAATTCATGATATGCAGCATCACTTACACAAAACTTGTCCATAATGTAGACAACATTCCTGACCTTGTCTTTGTCCTCCTCGAAAAGGAATTGATATGCAGACTTTTTCTCGTTATTGTACTGCAGAGTCACTTTTTCCCCAGTTTGGCAATCACTGAGAAATAGCTTATCTAGCTTAAATCCAAATGACTCAAGAAACCAGAGGGCTCTTTCTGAATTACTTTTTAGCACTTTCAGCTTTCGTTGCTTTTGGGTGTAGCTTACTTCATTATATGTACGACCATTGTTCCTGTAATTTGAGTCGCAGTGTTTACACGAGTCTCTGTCTACAAGAGAATTGACGTATTCTTTTAATTTATCATTTTGGTCTGATATTTCAGAATAAGACTGTTCAAGGTCAGCTGCTCGCTGGGTAGTTTGCCTGAATTCTGCAACCTCCTGCACAAGACTGTCACATCGAGCTTCAAGAGTTTCAAGTTGTTCCTGTAATTCCTTCTTCTCTTCCTCGAGGCTGTTAATTTTACTCAAAAGCTGGCTGGCTGGCGTCTTCTATTTCAGATTGGTATACAGCTAATTTCTTGACTTTTGTAAGTATCTTTATTCTTGTAGCCCCTTTAGTTCCAGTACATTCCTTTGCAGCAGAGTAACTCAGTTCTCTCAGGCGCGCTTCTAGTCGTAATTTAGCCTCCTCTTTTAAATTTAAGGTACAAGACGGGAGATTTTGCGAAAGGAAAAGCAAATCCACGTATGACAATACAAACAGTTTTTTTACTACTTTTATTTGGTGCCACTTAATTAAAATTTCATAAGGGATAGAGAAAGTAATAAACACTTCATTGCTATTCTGCTTACGGATGTAGGAAAGGCAACTTTCTGATGAAAATGTCAAGGTTGACTTGAATTTAAGATAATCATGAATATTCAATTCTTCCAACATTTGTTTTCTTTGTTTGTATTATAAGTCAAATCTCGTGCCAATCGGCAGGGAATTTCTCAAGGTTCAGTCCGCTGATCGTATTCATCTTGGGCTCGATGAAAGATGTGCCAAAGTTCTACAGGGCAGCGTTCTTTAGCGTTAAAATATGCTTGAGCCTTGTTGAATTCAATTTCCGAGCTTCGAGATCTGATTTTTGCTGCTTACAAGCTTTAATTTGATGTGCTAGGCGAACGTTTACATCAAATACTTTCCAAATTATCATCGTCCGAATATTGGTAATATATCGAATGCGATTCTGGCTATTGCCATTATGTTATCAAATGCGTAACTTTGGATTTAAAAAGTAAATGTCGATTTAAACATTATCAAGGTAAACACTAGCTAGCTCTATCGTTTCGTTTAAATACGGAAATTAAATTGACATATTTTATCAAATTAATAGGGTTTATATTAGCCGGTCTCGTGTTTCTGGCATACAAACTTCACGTTGTAAAAGTAAATACCCTTTTTAAAGTTTGCCAACAAAATTTTGGACTCTAACTTAGATTATAAGTTTCTTATTCACTTGTGAGGTTCACAATTTGTTCAAATCATACTAAAAATCTGTATTTGAAGAATAAATGTTGCCTTGTATATGTTTTCCTATTATTTTTGTTATATATCGCGCGCACTGAAGTAGCGTGGGGCTAGTATAATTCATTCGCGTGGTGACGATTTCTGGCGATGTATTCCATCACTAATAAATCGTTTTGCTGCTTTTCTGATTCCTGACGGGATCAGTTGGGTCATCAGCTTGGCATCCCATGGTTGTATATGATGACAAATCTTGACTAACAAGGATGATCAGAGGACACCGCCCTATCATATTTTGCCACTATTCAAAATATAGACAATGCAAAGGGTTACAATCCGATTACACAGTTCACAGGATAATGCCTTCTATTCCAATGATGAAAATGAACAGATACATTTTAACATGAAAGTATGGATCTTGCACTTATAAAGTAAGGTGACTCCATAGGTTATAGAAGTACTGAAACAATATAATTACATGCACAATACATTTAATCTCGCATTTAATATCAGCAGTTTTAATAGCTAGCCCACTGATCGTCGTATTTATACTGCAAGAAGTCAAAATGTAATTGTAGTTTATTTGTGTGTGTGGCAACGTGACAAGGCAATGAGTTTATAGTGTTCATTCTGGATGTTTATACCAATGTCGTGCATTCAGCATGTTTTAAAAACAAACACAGAATCTTGTGTATGCAGCTCTTAATAATCATGCTTAATAAGATTCCATAGTGTGGATTGTCTGTACAGTGTCCCAGTAGGGATTGTCTACATATATTAACTTTTATACAAGGTATGACGGTCTGTTTATATCTCTGAGATATGTCCATTGTTAGCATAATATTAAGACAAAAGACTTGTGTCAAAATCTTGGTGAATCTTCCCCGATAATCACCTCGCCTTTTGTCAACTAGCAGATTATTCTGTTGTTCTACCATAGGAGTAGCCTTGAAGGTGCCATTAAAATGATAACTGGGACAAAAACTGATGTAGTATTTCTATATATGATATTGCACGGTATTCAGTGTCAAGGTATTCAGTGTCAAGGTACAGTGTAGCCATGGCGACTGGTAATGCTATGCTAATAAACCTGCATCTATTTGAGCATTGCAAATCATTAAAACCTTGCATAGCATGATGGTTGCTATGGCTAGCTTTGTCACTGACAGTATTATAATTATACATACAAAAGCAAGAAATTATGAGCATTGAAGGTATTCCTATAAAATTGCCTATGCCAAGAAAGTACAATTAGAATATTTAGCTGACCTTCAACTTTGTGCAGGGTGTATTCAAATTGCACTTTTCCTACCTCTTGAATAGGGAGTCTTAGGTGCAGTTTACATGATGGAAGGCGGGATGACTTTGATGTATTGAAATAAGTCAGTGCACTAAAAGAAAGCTCAAATACTGGTTAACAGAACTCAAATGTTGTAGAGAAGATCTTGTAGTTCAAGAAGATTATTATTGCTGCTTGAACAACCTTTTCATTTACAGTTAACTATAGTCTATCTCTAGAAAATAATATTGTTTTTTGCTCAATTGTTGCACCGTCACTTATTTCAATACATCAAAATAATCCCGCCTTGCATCTTGTACTGGCAAAGCAGGATGATATAAACAGCCCCTTATTCAGCCAATTGTGCATTCCTGCCTTTGATCCCTTGGAGAGTGAGCAGCACTTTCCTTGTGATAGTAACTTCTAGTTTCAAGAACGCAACTAAGAAATGTAACCAATTCTTAAAAATGCATGACAAATTATTTGTTTATCCTTTTACACAGTCCAAATATGTTACAGTATCTAAGTGCACAAGTAAAATGAGAGAATGTTTTTTGCACCATCTCTTAATTTCATGTTTTATTTGACTCTGAACTTCCTGGAGCAAGTTTGGGAGTAGTTGCCTGTACTGTAAACCTCAAACCCGAAATCCTAAATGGAAAATTTTGCAAATACCACAGCCTGACTTGCCAAAACAAACTGCAATAGAAAATTGTATCTGTCCATAGATGAACGCTGTGTGTCGTCACTATCACCGTGAAGAGGAAACTCTCCAGTGCCAAGCATTTGGTTCACTTTCTCACCAAATAGCACATTGTTGGCACACTGATTCGACAATGTTCCAGCAAGAAAACGGCACTGACAGGTCGACCTTGCCAATGTTTATGCCATCCCCTTCAGTTAAAATAGCAAGCTGTTCATGTTATTATTATAGAATATCATTCAGCAAACCACAGGTATTTGAGTTTATAAACTACATTTAATATCAACAACATGAACAGTAGAACCTTGTGGTAAAACAGTATATGAAAAGAGTGGCGTGGCCCTGCCTCATCCCCAGGCGCTAATATATATATATATATTTCATGCGAGTCACTAATGAAAGGTTTACATGAAGTAGTGCGTCACATTATAGGCATGCAAAGGGGAGTGGGATATGAGCGTTCTGGCCGATCTTGTATAATAGCTGTCAAACATACAAGTATAAAAGAACAGATCTAAATACAAATCCCTTCATGTATATCACCAGAAAGAAATAAAGCTATCCTTTACCTGAATTATTCAAAATATTGTCGATTGTTTGCATCATGAAAATCAAACATACTGCATGTAAATAAGCTCGTAACTGAAATCCTGAGACGAATCTTGCAAATGCAATACAAAATAAAGTTTCATCGCTCCCTTCTTTAAAAAACATCTTGTAGTGTATATTTTTAAAATAAATTGCTCATTGAAAATGCATTGTCATTTTTCCATACCTTGTAAATTTATTATATAAACCGGCATCTACAGCCCCGTTGAACTCTTCAAGTGTTGACATCTTGGAATAATTTAAAGCCTTAAATGATATCAAATATCATCTGACTGTAATCACATGTTTAATTGAACAATTTGAAATGCTGTCTCCTCAAAAAAAAACTGGCGAAAAACCACAATTTGCAAGAAACAGACGAATTTTGCAAGAAACGGCACAAGATCTCCCAGGTGCTCCTCAATTTTCGATGCCTCAAGCCCATAACTGCCTGCACTTGTTCGTCGCGATGCACTACTTCATGCAAATCTTTCATATAATGACTTGCATGAAATTTTTTTATTAGCACCTGGGGACGAGGCAGGGCATGACCTAAAAGTTCAAAGTACTTTGTCATACGATATGACGTCACATGCAGTTCTATTTTTCGTATACATTAACTATATTATTGACACTCCCTCTCGAAAATTATGAACTGTAACATATATATAACATGTTCGTTAAACGTTCAAGATTAAACTAAGGAATGTTTCTAACTCCCATAAGTTCTCCCAAATGTTGAAACATTGTTTTCCGTAATGGTTTAGTCAACAAGTCTGCTAACATTTCTTCTGTAGGACAATAGTCTAGAACAACTTCTTTCTTTGCAAACTTTGTCATGAATGATCGATATGCTTATATCGATATGCTTTGTTCTGGGATGGTACTTAGGATTCTTTGACAAAGCTATTGCACCTTGATTATCCTCTTTGATCATCGTTGGCTTGTTTTGAACAAAACTGATATCTTCGAGTAACACACGTAACCAAACTGCTTCCTGACACGCTAACAATGCAGCGAGATGCTTGGCTTCAGTTGAAGAAAGTGCGACAACACTTTGTTTCTTACTAGCCCAACTGATTACTCCTCCACACAGTGTAAACAAATATCCTGATTGCGATTTCCGTCTGTTTGGATTACTTCCCCAATCAACATCAACTAACCATTCAACTGTACTTCAGTTTCTTTGTTTCCATCAAATGTAATTCCGTAATCAATTGTTCCTTTGATGTATCATAAAGTACATTTAGCTGCTGTCCAGTGTTCAACCCCCGGGTTTGAACAAAATTGATTAACCAATCTTAACGCTTGAGCGAGGTCAGGTCTAGTACCAGTTACCGCATAAGTTAATCCCCCTATTAAGGCTTGATACTTGGTTTTCTCAACTGGTACTCCTCCGCTAGGTAGTAATTTAGTGTCTTGATCAACAGACGTTGCAGCTGGTTTGCACTCCTCCATTCCAAACTTCTTTAACAAGTTCATGAGATACTGTGATTGATGTAATCTCATTCGTTTCTTGTTTCTATCTCTTTCTACTTGAATACCAAGGCAATAATAAACTTCACCGAGATCTTTCATTTTGAAATGCTTTCTCAATGCTTCTTTCTCTTTATGAAGCATTCTCTTACTATTACTAGCTGGTATCAAGTCATCGATGTACAAGGCTATGAGCATGATATCATCTCCCTCTTGCTTAATGTACAGATAAGGATCCAAGCTTGATTGTACATAGCCGGAATTCTTTAAGAATTGATCGATCGCGTTCTGCCAACACCTTGATGACTGCTTCAAGCCGTAGATACTCTCATTTAATTTGGACTGAACTCGCTATTAATACATGCAACATTATTTTGCCACAAATTGCCAGTAATTATAACACCATGTCTATCTGGTGGTTCTCGTTTGTGTGTTGAATGTTGTGGTTGCTGCTCCACTTCGGTTTCTCTACTGATGCTCGGTTCTTCAGTACCTTCATCATGATCAACTGTGTCTTGATCTCCTGGAATAACATGCTCTGAAGATGGTTTGTTCACTTGTGGTTCTTCTTGGTCTTCAGGGAGGGAATCATTCAAGTTTACAATTTGCATAAATTTCTTCTGTTGAATAAATTCATCTTCATCAAATAAAACATCCCTGGATATGTGTAATGTCCGAGTCTTAGGATCATAACGTCTGTATCCCTTACTTGAAATACTATATCCAACAAATATACATTTCTTGGTCTTCGAATCCCATTTCTTTCTGGTTTCTTTAGGAACATGCATGTATGCTTTGCATCCGAACACTTTAAAATTGGACATGACCGGTTTCTTACCATTAAAGCATTCATATGGGGTAATATTGTCCACTGCGACTGTAGGACAATGATTTCTAACAATAACTGCTGTGCATACTGCTTCAGCCCAAAATTTCATATCCAGTCCAGCATTATGTATCATAGATTGTGCAGTTTCCTGAATAGTTCTATTCATCCTTTCTGCCACTCCATTCTGCTTGGGAGTTCTACAATCCTGGTCAAAAATCCCTGGCGCACTTAGTCGAAATAGCATGACCTTTACTTGGTTTCTGATTACCATATACATACTTGTGCATTTTATGCAACATTTCATGTTCAGACATCCCCCTATGCCCCCAATCAATGTTGTGTAACACCTTGGACGTCTAACACACAACATTGAACGGGAAAAAGGGGGGTTGCTATGCTTATTATTGAATGTGGGAGTCAAATTTCGCACAGTCAGTGTCAAGTGCACCAATATTTTTGACCAGGATTGTCCGAATATAAAAATGAAACTAAAATTTATGTACATATATAATTTTGACTCAAAATGTACAGAAGTATTAGTTCGTGTTTTCTACGTATATTGGGTGGCGTGTTCTAGATGATTTCGTTGGGAGTTATTGAAAACCTAGCGTGCGTGTCGTAATGTTCATAATTATGACGTCATATGTGGGGTGTGTTACTATGAATCACGAGAATCCCGTGTATATAAAATGAGGCTAGCTACAAAATAAAATTGAATAATATGCATTTTGATAATTAGATTCATTTAAGGATGGTTTACACAAGAAAAATCACAGCAAAGACAAGGGCTTTGGTACTTTATTATAGAAAGGAATCGGGTTTTTCGAATAGAGAGATCGCGAGAAAATGTCATATAAGCCCATCATCAAGTAGCAAGAATATGGAGGGAACACCAACAACCAGCTGCGCTGAGATCTAAACAGTTAAAAGGCAACAAGGGATGCCCAAGAAAAGTTGACAAGCGATCTGTTAGAAATTAATAAGATGCCTGAAAAAGTCGAGAAAGGAAAACCCGAACGCAACTGTTAAAACACTCGTAAGGGAAAGTGGCCTCATGTTACAAATGGCAAGTCGGCGCACATTTTTGCGTAGATTGAACGAGAAAGGTTATGGGTTTTATCAGGTATGCAAAAAGGGATTAGTGACGGAAAGAGACAAAATATTATGTATGAAATATTCAAGACAAATGAAGCGTTACATGAACCAAAATAAGAGCTTTTGGAAAGATGAAGTAGCGTTTTACTTGGATGGTTTCTTTTGTTTTCAAACATAATCCGTTGAACAGCGCGATTGCCCACAAAGCAAGGGTTTGGAGAAAAATGTCAGAAGGGCTACTGGTGACAGGAAAAGGTTCTAAAGAATTAGCTGGTGGAAAGAGACTGCACGTAATTGTCGCTATAGCTTACAGAAAAGGTGTGGCTCTCAAAGTTCCCTATGAGAAAATGAATGGCAATTTCTTTGCGGAGTTCATTGGAAAGCATTTTAATACTTGTTTTGCAAAGTGCGGACGTAAAAAGAACGGTCGACGCCTGTTTCTCATGGATAATGACCCATCACAAATGAGTAAAGCAGCGCGAAAAGCAATGGGAAAAGTTGAGGCTGAATTTCACAAGATTCCGGCTAGATCGCCTGACCTGAATCCAATTGAAAATGTCTTTCACTTGGTAAAGAAAAGTCTTGAGAATGAAGCAATTGCTAATAATATAACGTAGGAAACGTTCCAAGACTTTACAGCGCGGGTTTTAAAATCCATGGAAAATCTGTCAATTGATGTAATCGATCATACTATTTCAAGCCTGTCAAGTCGAGTGATGCTGTTCTTAAAGCAAGAGGAAATCGCATAAAATACTAGGAGTTCTATCTTTTACTGTTATATATTACTATTCAAGGCAGAGTAAGGGCAGTATTGATCAAAATAGGTGTAGCTATTTGTGCAAATAGGCAATTAGCTTGCTGTCAACAAGTAGATTAAATGTAAAGTATAATTAAACATGCAAAGTACAATTAAACATGCAAAATTACAAACAGTGCTCCCTTGATATTTCCTAATTATTTGCCAAGGATGCAAAAATTTTTGTTTTCAGATACACAAATTGGTTTGCATTACTTGAATAAATGCATTTATTCATTTTAAAATCTTACTTAGGTCATTATTGCTAAATTAAGATCAGTACTCCACAAACCTAGCTTAAATTCCTTGACTATCTCACTGAATTCTTTAGGAAAATGGGGAGCACTGTTCAAAATAATGCAAGATATAGTTATCATTTATTTATTTCAAAGCAAATAAGTTGACCATTAAATATTATTATCAAAGATCGTTATATTATTAGCAAATATTAAAATTTAATAGATTTACAATGAATTTTTTGATGGGGTGATGTATAGACTTATGACATTATGTTATGCATATCTGGGCGTGAAACATAGTTGTAAGTACTTATTACGTCAATGACTAATGCGATTTAATTTATAACTTGTTATCTAAAACGAACTTAGCAAAGCAATGTCCACATGGTATCAATCTCTGTTGTTCCGAGCGAGGAATTTGCTTCCAGAAGTGAAAGAAATGCCACCTCGCGTTCATCATGTCCGTATTAGCTTGGTCAATTGAGCCACCCTTAACTTGCACTATAGGTACGTCTGCTGTGGCAAAGAACGGAATATCAACTTTAAGTTCAATGTCTCGGGGACATATGTTCTTAGGGGTTGGCAAATGAACAATATCTCCTTCAAGAGCTTGAATCAGCCCAGGCAATAATCTTTGGATCCCATCTGAAATCATTGAGAAAAATTATTTCTGCTTCATTGACTCCGATCCAAGCAAATGAACCAGTTGCAGGATTGCAAAACGCATTGTAACTTGCTTTCAGAGGTGACAAAATGAAGGTTTTCCCCGTGTTTGCTGGTCCGTGAATATAAATATTCTGATATCTTGCCCTCCCCTTCTCCAGAACCATGTAGATTGCAGTGGCAAACGCTGAAATCATAATTCCATGATGTTATGTTCCATAAGTGTTATTGCAGCAGTATACCATCTCCCTTCACAATCTGGGACGCAATTAGCACCTTGAAACTCGATTAAAATTTGAATGCGAGTTTTTTTGGAACACGCTAATCTCTCTTCGGCTTCTGCAAACTCTTTCGCTAAGGACAATGCTTCTTGAACGCACTTATGCCCTCTATTTGCTACGAAATTTGCCAAAGCTGTGTTTCCTTCTCAACTTTGTGAGACAGCTAACGCTACCAGCTCAAGACGCTCTGAATGCTTCTCCTTTGAACTATCTGCATCACATCGAAAACACTCAGTCTTTCTCTATGCTTTCTCATTCTTTTCCCTTTCTTTCCGCCGTTTTCCTTCTTGCAATGGGATGCAATTGCCTTCTCCGTCCTGGGAGCATCATTCGATATGTCAGGATGCCCAACACACAACATTGAACAGGGGAATGGGGGGTTGCTATGCTTGTTATTGAAGTGGGAGTCAAATTTCGCACAGTCGGTGTCAAGTGTGCCAATATTTTTGACCGGGATTGTAGTATAAGCTAGTGTCTAGGTACACTAAGTTGGTGCTGGATTCCCTTCTCTTTAAGGTAATTAACAAATTCTTTAGAGGTGTACTCACCGCCATTATCTGATCGAAGAATCTTGATTTTCTTTCCTGTGATATTAGCGACCATATTAGGATCATAGCTCCATCAGCAAATGAGTGCAATCTCGTCAACAGAAAAGGGTATTATCACATACAAGGGATCTGTGAAAGGTTTGTGTTTATATCATAGGATATTACTAGTGTGAAACGCAGCACATTCACCACACTATTCAAGCACAATATTCAACATCCGCAAAAATTCCTTAGATTTTGTAAAATTTCCTTAAATGTGTCTAGGGAGTGTTCATTATTTATGGTTGGGGGCAGCGGTGAAATCATAGGGGGGAGTTTGCTGTTATTTTTTTTGGAGGGTCACCAGTGTTTGAGGAGTAATTGGGGGGGGGGGATCATGAAAGTTTTAGTTCTGCCAATGTTTTGACCTCAGACATACCCAGTATTTATGCTGAAAATAGGCTGTTTTTAGCCCCTTTTAAACCAGAATTTCCAACAATTTTCCACAAAGGCAGGCGGGGACAGTTGCCCCCTGTCCCACCATTTCATCTCTTGCAATCACAGATTCGAATGGCCCCAGAGAGAGTTTGTACCTTTCTTGCTGCATGTTGCATGCTTCACATGAACCATTGGGGAATGATGACGATGATGAAGACCAAGTAGACCTTGGCAATAACTATGAAGGTGCAAACAGGGCAGAAGCTGTCAGGAGCCATATTACAAACGCATTTTTAATTCATATTTCAAAAAATTGTAATTCAAATTTCTAATTGGCATAGATTTAACTTAATATTATTTGTATTCTTATTTACATGTATTTTAAAAATTATTCTCAATTTATATTCAAACAATTCATACAAAAATTCACGACAGTTGTTTAATATAACATTTGGAATCTGATATAGCCTGCCGTAAGTATCACTTTCCAAAAAATAAGACATAGCATACAAATGATGTAACAATGTAATAAGGTCTAAAATTGGAGACCTTAGTTTTAAGCATATAATACACCCTTTTAATGATTATGTCATTTGGGCTGGGAGCCTTGGAGTAAATCCATTTATCAAGTCGAGTCCGAGTCAATGCGGGGCCCAAGTCCAATGCCCGAGTCATGTAAAAAAAGATGAAATTGAATAAAATTCACAGTCAAATTGGGTTAGGAGTATGGTTTGGGTACGAAGTCATTGAACCAACAAACACAGCTATTAAAACAGTGACTCGGATTTGACTTGGTTGACCGACAAACTCCAAAACTGAATACAATTCACAGTTGAATAGGGTTAGGGTATCTTAGGAGTGGGGGGTTAGGGTTAAGATTAGGGTACTAAGTCATTGAACTACAAAGGCCACTAAACAGTGACTCGGACATTTGACTTTGGGCTCGGATTTGACTCGGTTAACAGACAAACTCGGGAGCCTCGCTCTAATGAATCATGAGTCAATCACCTTGCATAATTTACTAATGAAAGCGAGGCTCTGAGACCAAAAAGTATATGTGACATAATTATTGAAAGGGTGTATTGTGTGACATGCATATATTCAATGGGTGTAATATATCTTTTTAATATAAACAAAATCAACATGTCATTCAATTTAATGGTGCTGCCTCTTCTGCTTGTTTAACTTCCAGTTTTTTTTTTGATAAGTTTTGCATTCTTCATTTCGACTGAGATTTTTCCACTCTCCAATTTCAGAATGTCCATCTGCATCCTCTGTAGGTCTTGTGCTGTTACTTTTCTTTTTTATTCCTGGCATTGATAGGGTGGCGTAGTGGAAAGTGAATATGACTGGTTGCAAGATTTGTTTGAACACTCAGCACTCATACTTGGGGTTGAAGTTAAATCAACATTGATTGTTGAGCTAGGGATGGTGGGCCTCATTGGTGGTGGATCATCTCCTGTCGAGGGCCCACTTTCGATCAAGTCTTGTAATGGGTGTTAGCCAGGCGACCATCCTACAGACGGCTACTTCTGAATTCGGACAGCTAAATTTTAATGGACAGTCTAATGGAATATTTTCTTTAAATAGCAATTTACAAGCTTTGTAATATTTCTTGAATACTTCGAATTGTTGTCATCTGCTGCCTACTTTACGTATGGTATATGTTCTCATACTTTTCCCCGTCAAAAACATGTTGAATATAGCCGAATTGAAGTATCGACAAACACGCCATGTTTTTTTAACCATGTTGATCACAGAATAAAGATCATATAGTTACTCTGTGATGTTGATGATTCTTGCATGAAGAAGTATCAAGGAAAATAATTTGAAACTGTTGTTTTAAAAAAACAGCAATCGCTTTATCACTCGAGCACCACATGCTTTAGAGTTACAGTTACAGGGTAAAAATGGCTATAAAATGAGCCAAACACATAAAAAAAAGGAAAAAATATCCGAGATTGATAAAAAGTAACTAAACACTACATAGCCCACGCTGGCTAAACACTACACTACGGTTCATACCATACATGTGCTTTTACTAATTTAATGACGGAAATGTGCATCTAAATGTAAGAAGATTCAACGAATAGAACACCACAATTCCACAACAACAACAAAATTGTGGCCACACCCAAAAACATGTGACCACACCCACAAAAAATTGTGGCCACGCCCACAAAATTATTTTGGACAGCCACTTTTGAAATCCTGACTAACAGCCTGTTGTCAGCATTGAGTTCAGTGGAGTCAGTGACAATATTAAGCCGCTTATCATTTCCTGAAAGAATCAATTTACATTTATATAAATATACACTAACTGATGAAGTAGAATCCTGTAGAAAACGCACCCAAACATGGACCACATTTGCTTGACAATAAAAATTGTACATATGATCTATGTATTTATTAAACTACAAATATTGACTATAAAATATGAGTTATAACTTATCTGAAACAATTACAGATAAAAGCTGTTCTCACGTCAAACTTTTATATAGTGTCCGGTTTAGTTTACATAGCTCGGCAGTCTATTTTACATGAAACACATGGCTGCCTCATACATCCATTCACACTTGGTCACTTAGACAAACTTGGTTGTTTTTACACTATTTTCGACATGTTATGTTGTTACATTTTCAGCCATGATTTCAGTGATAAATATGCTGAAATAACAGGCAACATTACACAACCTACCAGATTCAATGCCCCCTGTTATACCGGAAAAGCTGGGCTCATCTTCAGAGAGCTCAACTATTTCGTCGAGAAGTTTCTTCACTGGCGCTGGTGCATTTCCGCCTCCGGTTCGCTGTTGTTTTGCTTGACTGCAGTCCTTTTTTGCTGCAGAGATCATCATTCACCACAGTAGTCGTTATATATATACAATAAAAAAACAAGGGGGAGCGGGAACCAGAAAAATTTAACTGGAATTAGTATTACGCGAGAGTGCCTTGAAGGGCGTTGGCCATGGGCGTGGTGGGCTGTACGGACGGGGGGAGTTTTGGTGGTCATGTGACTTCAGGAATGTTGGTGTCCTGCCGCGCGCTCTGGAGGGTGTGTGTGTTTGTTTTTTTGTGGGGGGGAGGGGATTTTTTCGCGTTCTTACGAGAACGGTACGGGCGGGGGCTGGGGCGAGATGTTACTCCAAAGCCGCGGTCGACCGAACTGATTCGGATTTGAAGTTCGCGCTCTTTTATGCTCTTGCGCCCGTTTTTGGGGTGTTGCGGGTGTTTGCGGGTTGTGGGATCATGTTTCAGGTTGTAGTAACCTGAAATTACGGGTGTTTTTCAGGTAGTGATATATTACACGCATACAATTTTTATATCATTTATTAATTATTTTTATACAATTATTTACAGAACATTTTTTTCGAGTTTTCTACTTTTGCGATTTTTTAATGCTTCTATTGTGAATTTTTCAAGATAACAAAATTTTTCTAGTTTTTCTTTTTGTATTTTAATTTTCTCTAATGCTCGTTCGCGTTTTTCTCCTAGGTATACGTAGCATTGATAATGTTTCATATTGTAGGTTTCAAGAGTTTCATTGCTAGTAGTAAGAATTGTTTTTCTTTTTTTCTCTGTCCCGTCTAATGCATAGAGAATCACATCTTGCGAGCTTATTTTCTCCTCGTCTGCTTGGTCGTTTGCAATGCGTGTAAGATGGACGTGTTTGTTGGGACGACCACTTTTAGGACCGGACGAAGATGCTTTTCGTTTTAGACTTTTTTTTAAATTGTTTATGTTTTTACCCATAGGAGTTAGCGGTTTTTTCACGGGGGTAGCGGGAGGTTGTACGGTGACGGGGGACGTTGCTGGAGATTGATTATCGCTACTCGATTCTAGTACTTCGGTGGTTGTGTCAGTCATTAAATATTCTGCATCGTTGTTGTTGTATAAAATATTCGGGTTTATCGGGTTCATGATATTTAATAGGTCTGTGTTATAGCATTCGTTCACATTGTTTAAGATAGGCGGTGACGTATACGGTGGTGGTTGAGCGTTGAAAAAAGTCGTCGGTGTTTGAGGTTGAGTAAGAATTGTATTTTCCATTTCTTGATAAATAGGTTGTTGTAACCACTTGATATAGGCTCTATCGAACGACGAGTATACGGGGTTAGCTAGTCGGAAAAACTGGAAATCCGTAAACTTTTGAATGTAATGTAGTCGATTTAGGTTGTTTTCGTCGACTCCTTGATATTCAAAGAAGAGCTTTAGATCTTGCTGTTGCTGTGCTGAAGCCATAGTGAATAAACTGTCTGAAAACTCTTGTGCGATTGTTTTAGACATAAAAAGTAGATTAATGCATGTGACAGTATAGAAAGTCGATTACCAAATATGGTTGCGAGTGAAAAAGTCGATTACCAAATATGGTGTGACGTTGTGTGGGTTGTAACAAATGATTGATATGTTTTTCTTAGAATGAAAGAATTATTGGCAAGATGTCGTTTAATAATTCGACGAAAAATGCAAAGAATGTTGGATTTACAAACCTTGTTGACCTTGTTGATTAGCATACTTTTGCTAGTTTGGTTACGATATTGGATACCTTGTACTGGCGAATGTGCGGAAATATTTACAGAAATTGTTCAAGAAATAGCTACAAGTTCTACTACAATGGCTGACGGTGAGCAATATGATAAAAAGATAAAACAACTTTTAATAAATCGTATATTGTCAAAAAATAGAACGATGATACCCGAATTTTCTGTTATATCATTTTATTATTGTGATTATGTTTATAATATACAATATGTTTTAACGGGACGACTTCGATATAAAGCGTATGGTATGAATGTGTATAACGTGGGTTTTGTGAATTTGTGTAAAAATGAGACGTATAGAAATCTTATGAGGATACCCACAAGTTTTAAAAATGATGATTTTTTTTTGCTCGGAATTCATCTTTGTTTGATACGTTTGATATGGTATTACGAAGCATAATTTATAGACAGACGGTTGATGTGTGGAGAATAATTAAAGAGATTGTTGCGAGAACAAAAATACTATGTAGTTATATGTTGTTACGAGACATCATTGAAGATATATCAAAGGCTAAAGCGACGAACATTTGGGTTGATGTATAGTATTCTTTTTTTTAGACTATTGAAATGGATTGGATGCAAAATGTTCGTGATCCTTTGTTACCCATAGATATCCCGTTACAAAGTAAAATGTGCGACGGGAATGTTGATTATGCCAAGTTTGATGTGTGTGAAGCAAATCGTTTGTTGACAATTGATGAACAATGTTTGGATTTCATTTTAACATTTTCAAGAAAAAATATTATAAAACTATCATCGAATAAATCCATGTGGTTGGTAAATAATGGAATGATTGTACCGTTTCCACAAACTTATTTTTATTTTTTAAATTCTGTTACAAAACAGAAAACGCAAGTAATTACAATGATGATGATATGCTGGAGTCGGGAGATCTATGTAGCTGTTGATGTAATTTTTCATATGACACCCGAAAAAGCATATACGTACCCTGTGAAATATCGTGCACCTTATATTGAAATTAAACGTAATTTTAATGTGCTTTATTTTATGAATACGATTTTTACATGTAAAACACTAAAGACATATGTTTATGGACGTGTGGAAATGTTTCTTGAAACTATTTTTCACTTTAGTTCTATGGACTTGCCACTAGAGACTGTATGTGTAAAGTGTTCTGATTGTGTACGAATGCATGGCTCGTGTCGTTTAACTGAAATTTTACTTTATTATTGTAAAATGCTTAAGGATGCGCGTATGCGAATGTTATCAAATTGCAAGGGGGCGTGTATTACAAGATATTTTCCTTATTTCTCACCGTGGTATTCACACCCTACTTGCAAGCATGGATAGTGTACGACAAAATGCGTATATTGGGGAGAATGAGGACAAAAATGAAATTCAAGAGTTATTGTTTTGTGATAATAAATTTTTAATGTTAGTTAAAGAAATGTGGCGTTATTATTTAAAATTACCTGTGGGAATTGATGAGATACAAAGTAATATTGTAAATGGCGGTTGTATAATACCATTTCCGCAGTGTTATTTTTATTTTGAAAATATGTATATGGTAAATAATGGGGTGATTGTGAGCAGTTCAACAAGACGTGTGGTAATGGGTTGCGTATGTTTCTCGTTGGGATTTTGTGGATTGATCGAGGTTGATTTTTATATGCACCCGCGTAAATCAATGTATATAGCAACGGATCATGCATGGAGCCCTCCTTATTGGTCGGTTACCACTAGTATTGATATGATATGTCACGACGAGGAATACATAGGGAGTATACATTTATTTTTATATCAGAAAACAAAACTTTTTATGGCTGCTGTTGATCAATGTACACAGTGTAGTGATGACGTTTTACGTGAAGTGTGTAATAATGTATTACATATGTATCCATCTTATCGTTTGGCGCGTATTTTGAAATATCTTTTAAAACTACAGTATACGGTTAAAGATTTTATGACGTCATCGTGTAAATGTATCACGTGGAATACAGAACGTCGTAATTTGCAATATATACCCCCAAGATGTCGTTGTGAGACAATGTGTGCTTCGTGTGTTGTACAGTTTAAAAATTTGGAATATATTTGTGATTAAAAAATGTTTTGTCGTGCTACACCTTGTGATGAGGAGTTAGAAGTTTACGATATTCTTCGTCGAAATATTTATGCTAAGGGTGGTGAAAGAAATGTGAATTTGTTATATGCCGAACATATTTTTTCCTTCAGCTCATATATGTACGTTGTTGAAAAACATTTGAATTTGGAACGTACGGTATTGTCGTTGGATGTGATTTTAACGTCTGTACGTTGTGCTAGAAAGCATATTGCATCAAGATTTTTGATAAAATGGATACCCTCTAATCACATGGGACGCGTTTGTCGGGAATCTATGGGTTGTACTATGCCTCGTTATACAACGGGTTGTAGACATGGATATTTTGAACAACATTCTCGAATGGTGACTATACTGCATGATATTTATTATGCATTAATGAGAGAATCACTAAATAAAGAACTTCGGGACGCAAAAGAGATTTGTAAAACTATCTGTTTAAATTATGATGTATTTGTTAGCGAACATTTAATTCAAACTTATATAATTTATGCACAAAAATATTATACGAATCGAAATTATTTTAAAATGAATTGTAAATGTAATGCAGCCAAACCGTATTGTGTTTGTGAATGTATAAGAAATAGATTTATAAAATAAAAAATAAAATTTTTTAACCTTCAGTGTGTGTGTGCGTGTGCTCTTAGGGGTATGGAGATTGTAGAGCGTTGGTTTGAAAAACAACATAATCAAATTCAAAATTGGGAAAAAAATTATGTACGAAAATATCAAAAAGATATTGTTAGTCGAATTACACACGTTATGGATTGTGAAGCATATACGTTGGGAAAAAATCAAGTTTATTTAAGAGAGGTGTCTGTGTATCGAATACGAGACGAAAAAACATTTTCATTTCAAATTTATATGCCTAATATTTATATAAATCCAAAGGTAGTACATTATCAAATTCATCACGTTCATGGTCTACCCGTGGTGTATGAAAAAAACAACGAGGATTTTTTACAATATCATGACGTGTATAAAGTGTTGTGTGAAGAGTTTATGACCTCTGCAGATTTGGTGGGTTATAAAGGTGGTACTATTGAAAGAGATTTATTAAAGAAATTGGGTACGAAAGGTATCAATATTGAGTTATTGGGGTGTGAGAAGTATGCGAACTTGATTACCAAATATGGTATGACACCTGAACGCTGTCCGTATCATTTGTACGGTGATTATCATTGTTCTAGACACGAAGTTCAGGTATTTGCACATTTCTTAAACGAGTTAGCACAATCATGTCGGACTCCGTAGATCTTTCGAATGACTTTGTACGTCTTTCACAAGGACAGGCGGCCATTGAAGCGTTTGATGTTTTATTGAAAAATTATTTACATCATCCTATTCTATGGCGTTTGTATTCTGTGAATAGTACGTTACGTCTGAGAAAACCTCGTATGGATAAAGAACGTATCATTTGTGATTATTTCGTGGAAAAAGAACCGTGGCTGTGTGGTGTGGGTGCGGGATTAAATTCTATCATTTGTTATGATGACAAAATTAAAGACGACGACGGAAATCGTACGGTCGAAGCGTTGGTTTCGCCAAAATATGACAAAGGAATTACGTATGTTATACCTTGCGAATGGGTGAAAAGGGTGGTATTTGACGAAGAGGGCTACATGATTCTGAAAGCTTTCGAGTTTTGTTGCCGTCAAGTTTTAAAGCGTACCGATTGCAAATTGGTGCGTTGTCAAGAGATGATTTTAGGTGAACCTTATCTTAAGGATGTAAACTATTTTCACGTAGGATGTGGACCCTGCAACGAAGAAAAAGCGTACTTGTTGTATGAAATACCTATTTTTTTGGGTTTAAAACCCTTGTTTGAAATATTACGAACAGCATCGTTTGAAGTAGATATATTATATATTGTATATATTTTAGGTGATATTGCCGATCTAACGCTACATATGATGAAAAATGACGGTTCGTTTAAAGAATATGATAGCGCATATTTGCAGAATTTATTAAAACATATTTTAGTATGTAGTAGATGTTGTAAATATTTAAAAGATTTTATAATGACAATTGATAAGTTTCTTGAGGCAAGTGACCCCGTACCAGATTATAGTGATGATTGTAACGTAGAAGTATTTTTAGATGATATAATACCCTGTGACGTTTTTTTGATAGACGGTGAATTTAATGTGATCCGAGAACAATATTATACGGCATTGTTAAATTATACTAATGAATTGGGTATTGAAGCTTCGCATAGTTTAGTGTTAAAGTTTATACAAGAGCATGGCAGTGTTTCGTAAATATGATATTAAAACATTGTACTTTAAATATCCCTATACGCGTTGGATTTATAGAAATAAATGTGTCGTAGGATTCGTTAATTATAATGATGAAAATTATTACGAAGGCAGTTTTTATCATCTTTTAGTGGGTATGGCATTACACGAGGGATATAGTATTCAGCCTGCGTCATGTATTAAATGTTTATGTTCGTTTGCAAATAAATATGTGGAGTTTGTTAAAACACGGCAGTGTATTGTGGGACTTGTGTTAGAAGGTTGTAAAGATGGTTAGTACGCGAACATTTTATTTTGAAACAACTGGTGTTAAAGAGAAACTATTGCGAGAATTATTGTTGAAATGGTGCGAGAATGGAATGTTGAAATATTTTAAATATGTAAAATATGAGCTACGGGGCTCTGTGAAGATAGCGGGTTTGGTACAATTTTGTAGACGTTTTTCGAAAAAAATTCTACGGCTATGTTTTGTGGAAGAAAAGATAGACATGCAAATTTTACAACCTGTGGGAAAACCCTTGATTTTAACGTATATGCAATTGTGGGTGATAAGAAATTTTTTTTCCGCTGTTGAATATGAACATGGAGAATTTAGTCTTGGGGGTAAAAAAAGATGTCTTGCAAGTGCTGTACGACCGTATTTGATGGGGTTGAAACATACTACAAACAATACAACGAATATAAATATTTGTCGATTGCGTGAATTTAAAAGGATGCTAAATTTACGTTATAAAATCATGTGAGGGATTGCGAGTCGGCATCAGTTCAGCTGACGTGTGCGTCGATGATGGAACATTTTTTATTATGGAGACGTACTAAATTTCGAGATTGTATGAGAATGTAATATTCTCATTTATATTCAACATGTCAAAACTTAATTTATTTATGTATAAACGACCGAAATTTAAATAAAACATACTTGTAAAAAGTTGATTACCTTATATGGAATGACAGGACACTTGGCTTATGAATAAAAGGACTTTGAAATTTATGGGTAGTAATTATTTGTGTATGCACGTGTTACAAAGAAAAGACGCATCGGTAGAAAATTTACGTCGTCTATTGTCGAAGCGTGTAAAGGAAAAAATCAACACAACAGAGAAATATTTTAGGTAAACATTTATTGATGATACATTACATGTTTTGCAGACGGTATAGTATTTCTAAGTTTAGCATGTCCACCCTTGCGTTTCTTTTTGATTCCTGCACCTTTTTGTTGGTAATTTTTTCGAACAGGCATAGGGGGCGGAGTGTTTCTTGTTTGTTCCCCACCTCCCAATGCACCCAATGCCAAATGTTTTCCCGCGGCGAGAAGTTTTTTCGAGAATGAGCTCTTTTTCAATTTTGTAAAAAGATTTCCGCCATCTTGTTTCTTGCTACGTTGATATTTTTTTCCCTTGAAATTTCCCCCGCCTTGTTTTCGTCTACGAACCATATTTTCATACGTGTGCGTTCAAATAAATATTTACCGTTATAAACAATGTTTTTTATGCCCAGTATTCGTCGCCGTACGAAGTGAATATTTCCCGGTTAGCGGGTATTTTTTTAGTCGCTTTTAATTTAAACATTTGATTACCCTTTATTTTGGCATTGTTTTGAAAAGATGTACCTCGACTATCGTTAACAAAACGTGCTGCTGCGTCTGTGGTGTATGTGGCATCAACACATCGTCCTCGTTTATTGCATACGGCATATTTTGCAACATCATCCCCATATTTTTTATCCAATTCTTTTTTGCTTAATTTACGACCGGTATATTTTGAAATCAATTTTCCTCGTGTGATGGGTTTTTTCCATGCAAATAATCCCTTGCCTGCACCTGCCACATTAGAGGGTTTAATGCGTAGATTATTTTGCTTTGCTAGATGAATCCAACATTTTTCCGTGTGCGCTGTTCGTTTACGACAACGTGCATCTTTTTGTGTATTGCTTACACATTGTTGAGATTTTCGAATACTTTGTGATTTGGGTTTACGTTTTCGACGTCGACGTGTTTGACGTAGTAAATTTAATACAAATTTTTGTCGTCGCGGTGTTTTCTTAGTTCTCGCCATTGCTTAGACGATTACGGAAATGCCTACGTATTGGTCTTTATGACGCTCTATATAATTAATAGCATTGGTTATTTTATTTGATAGATGCAGAGGAATTGTGTATGTTACACACATATCTGCAAATCGAGACCATAGATCGTCGATGGATATTTCGACGAATGATTCGAGTTGGTCGTGACACCATAGAGAAAGGGCATCTTTAAATAATATAGGTATGATTGCGATGTCTTGATCGTCGTCGTTAAATTCATAATTTGCTACATAATTTTCTTTGGGGTTTATAAGTGATTTAAAATGGATGTTTATGTGTCCCGTTGCCATTTGTATACGTCTTGTCTTGTTGCAAATATTATTTATAATGGGTTCTAAATTGTGTACGGGTAGTAGTGATACGCCTCTTGTTACGTTCGATTGTATGTTTGTGAACGTAAATCGAAGTCCAAATATTCAATTGGATATTACAGACAGCGGAAAAGAAGCTGTGGAAGAAGAAGAGGAAGTGAAGCCTACACGTTGCTGTTGTTTGCTATGGCATCGTCGGCGTCGAAAAAACGAAAACGAAACGATGACGACGAAGACGACGACGACGTAGATGGGGCACTTGTACAAGATATCGTACGTATTATTCGTACTAGAAACCATACCGTACCCAATTATGACATTTCCAACGAACAAATTCACGATCTTGTAGATATAATTCGCACAAAGCAAACTAGACGTGTACGACCGGAAGTGTTTAGTGCTGAATTATTACGCGTTAATAGACGATTTAATCACAATGAATTTATTTACAATATTAGTGTGGGTCGTAATAATGCGAGTAGTTTACCGGATTTTTTAGAGAGTATGAATACTGTTTTTAAATATCTTATAAATGTAATGAATTTTAATGCTAGTTCGTCTACAGATAAAGCACGTTTCTATATTTCGAATGCTCCAACGGCTAGTTTTTCAACGGCTATTTTGAATGTAGGTGATTTTACACCTGCATTGTTTTTAAATATTTTCGAACGACATATGCAAAGTAATGCACGTGCCGTGATTGACAATGGTTGGCAATCGATCGTGAGTTTATATATTTTCCCCAATAGGTATGTGCGTCCCCCAAATAATAGGAAAAAATATAAACAGCCTAAAATTTATAAATATTATGGTAAAAATCCAAGCGAGTCAGGTAACGGACGCACATCGGCGAGTAAGCATGGGCGGGGGGTACGAAATGGTGTTTTTCAAGTGGTAAGTAGTAAAAAGTGTTTCGCCCTTAGTTTGCTGGTGGGAAAATCGTTTTTGCAAAAAGACAAACAATACGATGTTTTAAACGTACGACGTAACACGGAACTTACGACGTTGTATACAGACGCACAGATTGACAATATTTACGCATGCGCAAATGTACCCCAGGGTTCCGTACGGATTGATCAATGTCATTTGTTCTATGAGAATTATTTACGTGCAGACAATATTGATTTGGTTATTTTTTCTAAATCTCGGCATGATTCCATCGTATATGATTCGCGTTTAGATGCGTCGGGAAATATTCATCGTATTACCGAGAATGTTATTTTTCTTTGGTTAAATGATGCTCATTTTGATTTGATTTTATCGTCACGAAAATTTATGAAAAACAGCGGATCTCGTTTTTGTATGAAATGTATGAAATACTTTCGTGTTTTTGAAAATGCCACGACCCACGTTTGTCACACGGTAAATACGTGTAAAAAATGTTACGCCCACGAGGCAAAATGCGTGGGCGAAGAGAGCTTTAAAATTGAATGTAGCGAATGTCATGTACTGTTTTACAATCGAAAATGTTTTACAAAACATTTAACGCATGCTATTTTTAAAAATAATTATAGCAAAAATGTACCGGCCTGTCGTTTTTTCTTTTTTTGTAAAACTTGTTATCGAATCGTACCACGTATGACACGAATTAGAACAAAAAAATCGATAAAACATAAATGCGGTCAGTTTTATTGTCTTCATTGTAATGCTATTAAGGATCAGGGTCATGCTTGTTACATGAAACCGTATAAAATTCCCGTCAACGAAGTATTACCCGTGTTGTATTTTTACGATCTTGAAACGCGTGTGAATGACGAAAAACTTATGGTACCTTTTTATGCCGTTGTGCAAAAAGTTTGTAGTCAATGCGACGAAAAAGAATTTGTTAGATCGCAAGATAATTTTTTGCCTCATCCCACAATCAAGCATTGTGATAATAGTGTTGAGCCCGTACCGTGCTGTATGCACAGACAATATGTTTTTGAAAATAATAACGAGGATGTTACCGAATTACTTATTGATTTTATGTTTGCTCAAGCCAACAATAGCGTGTGGATAGCACACAATGGGGGGCGTTTTGATAATATATTTCTGCTTCGGGAATTATTAGTAAAAAAAGGGGTGGTTCCTCATACGGTTATGAATGGTAATAAAATTATGAGTATGGAAATTCGGCACGGGGATATTTCAATTAAAGTAATTGATAGTTATTTGTTTTTGGCTATGCCCTTGAGTAAAATTCCCGAAGCCATGGATATACCCGATCTTGCAAAAGGGTATCATCCTCATTTATTTACAGATTTAAATTATGTGGGTCCCATGGTAGGGTTGGAATATTTTGATTTAAGTCGTGAAGAGGATATGGAAGCATTTAATAAATGGTATGAAATTCAAAAAACAAAAACGTACATATTTCGCGATGCTGTTTATTATTATTGTCGTCTAGACGTTGATATTTTACGGCAAGGATGTGTAAGATTTGCACGTCTCATTGTAAATATTACGAAAATTTTTCCATTTTACGATCGCACATGTCACACCATCGCGGGTTTAGCATTAAAAATATATCGTGCTAATTTTTTAAAAGAAGATGTTATCGGTCAAATTCCGCCCACGGGTTACGGGGGGAATGTTAATCAAAGTATCATCGCGTTACATTGGCTCGAAGAGATTCGCGAAAATCTTGAAACACAAGGCTATTCGTTGCGAAGTAAGTTGTCACCGGAAGGAGAGGAGAATGTTTTAAATTATAATGTGGATGGTTATTGTGCTGAAACGAATACTATTTATCAATTTCATGGTTGTTTTTTTCACGGTTGTAGCGAATGTTTTGAAAGCGGTGATATCAACAAAGTGAATGGACAACGATTTTATGTCCTGCGTGAAAAAACTCGGCGACTCACTGATCTTTTTAAAGATTATCATTTCACGGTTATAGAAAAATGGGAATGTGAATACATTCAAGAATGTAGTTTATCACGAAACACTATTCTTGAATTGGGTCATGTGAAATATTTCACCTATATTAATTTAAATCCTCGTGACGCATTATTTGGAGGTCGTACGTCACCGGCAGTATTATTTTATGACGTCGGCGATTCAGAAGAGAAAGTTCGTTATTACGACTTTACTTCCCTCTATCCATTTGTTCAAAAAAAATATCGTTATCCAACAAAACATCCGGAGATTACGCGTGGTGTTGACAAATGTGCACAATTAAATGTTTCGCAAATTTTCGGGCTAATTAAATGTAAAATATTAGCACCGTTTACTATGCTATTTCCCGTATTACCTATACGGTTAGAGAAATTAACGTTTGCTCTCTGCACGACTTGCGCACGCAACCAATGTGATGAGTGTACACATGATGATGAGCAACGAGCATTGTACGGCACGTGGACGAGTGTAGAAGTTCACGCAGCACTTAAACATGGTTATAAAATACTTGCTATTTATGAAGTTTATCATTATCCGCATAGTGCTAAAATTTTTGATTTGTATGTCGATACGTTCATGAAATTAAAACAAGAAAGTAGCGGTATGCCACGTCAGTGTATAAAAGACGATGGCAGTATTGATGACGTAAAATTACAAGCATACATACAGGAATATGCAGATCATGAACAAATTTACTTAGATGCTTCAAAAATAGGTCATAATCCAGGACAACGTACGGTAATGAAAGCTCTTTTAAATTCACTGTGGGGAAAATTAGCGCAAAACGAAGACACTACTGTAGTGTCGTTTCTCGATGATTTTGACGATTTGTTACAATTGGTAAATGATAAAACAATTGAGGTAACCTCGTTGGATTTTATAAGCGATGATGTTGCACGCACAACTCATCGAAAAATATCGGGGGCTTTAACAACTTTGGGTAATCGTAATGTAGTGATCGCTTCGTTTGTAACTGCATATGCACGTTTAGAATTATTTTCAGTACTTAATAAACTACAGGAGAATGTTTTATATTATGATACGGATTCGGTTATTTACAGGGAAGATCGAGCACGGGGAAAATACTTGGAAACGGGTAAATATTTGGGGCAATTAACCGACGAATTAAGTGAGAAAAATTGCACGGAAAAATGGATTAGGG